AATCCACCAGGAACGCCCCATATGGGAGGGGTCTGGGAACGATTGGTACGATCGGTGAAAGTAGCCATAAAGTCCACGCTGGAAACAACTCGAAAGCCCAACGACGAAACTCTGGAGACGGTAATCATCGAAGCGGAAGGCATGATCAATAGTCGACCATTAACCTACATTCCGTTGGAGTCAGCAGACCAGGAGGCGTTAACGCCAAATCACTTTCTGCTAGGAAGTTCCTCAGGTGTCAAGCAGTTGTCAGTTCTGCCTACGGACTATCGAACGACGTTGAGAAGCAGCTGGAACTTGGCGAAGCATCTGGCCGATGAGTTCTGGAGAAGATGGATCAGGGAATACCTTCCGGTGATTTCACGGCAATGCAAATGGTTCGAGAATGTGAGGGACATGAAGGAGGGAGATTTGGTGCTGGTGGTGGACGGAAAAGTGCGAAGCCAGTGGACCAGAGGACGAGTGGAGAGAATCGTGCTGGGAGCGGATGGACGAGTACGGCAAGCGTTGGTTCGTACGAAAGGCGGAGTCGATCGCAGGTCGGTGGCTAATCTAGCGTTGCTCGACGTCGTGAAGGAAGGTGATCCTGACCAAGAAGATGGTAGCGGTTCACGGGTGGGGGAGTGTGGCGACGAAAACCTCCCCGCGATGAAGATGCCCTAACGTCGACGGCGCCGTACTCGGTACACTGGGACAGCGAGTGCCAACTGACACCGACAGACAGATGAGCGTGTTGTTTATGATTGATAAGAGTGATAGTGCCGTGATAACACCACGCGTGCATTCATTGAAAGCGCTATTAAAGTCTAGATAAACCTAGTTAATTAGTATATACAAATTAAAATTAGTATTTACAGTTACTACAAGTAAGTAAATCTTCAAATATAAAATGTGAAATTATATGCTAAAGCTTACATCTAACACGCAAAATTTACTATCCTAGTTTCGTAACCTAAAATTGAAAAACCACCTAAAGGGAAGAATCTCGTTGTTAAAGTGAAGATACTGAAAATTTGTAGGTAATATTATATATATTCTAAACATGTATACTTATAATAAAACACTTACAGCTAAAGCATATTCCAACAACAACAACCGTGTATTGGATCGCTTGAAAGAGTTTCAGTGGCTACAACTGCTGTTGTTAGGTCTTCTACATTACCGATTTCGAACGGTTTTAACCTTGATATTGTGGTCTCAATTTGCTTGTTGTCGTAGTAGTACTTGGGACGTTCATTTTTATAGCTGTCTATGGTAATTTCAATTGCTAAGTGATGACTACCAATGCCGTATGATAATGTTCGCCATTGGACCCTTGACAGTAGCATTGTTGAGCACATGGTTAAATCAATAGCAGATGACCTACATCCAAATCTCAACGGTACAAAGGTTATGGATCCATCACGTCAGCCAAAATTTCGCCTTTTCTGTCCACTGTTTGATGTCCCCAATCGCCATGGTGTGCGTTGAAATCACCTCCAACGATAACGTTGTCGAATTGTCGGACTTTGTCAAACAGGGTTTGAATGTCATTCTTGAAATCTGCTATGCTAATTGAAGGACTCACATACACGGAAAAAATTACTAGATTTATAGACAATATTAATATTGCTACTACTTGTGTTTTAGTAGATAACACAGGTATATCTATTCTGGAATAGCTGTTCTCATTTCGCAACAGGATCGCCGTTCCTCCGTACGCGTCGTCTCTTGAGCATGGAATTAGGTGATATCCAGTGATATTATATTTCCTTGTGGTTTCTAGTACTGATTTAGTCCATGTCTCCGATAGGAGAGCTATATTGAAGCCTTCACCGGACAGGACTCTGTGTATTTCTGCCTTATTTTTTTCTAGACTCTGCACGTTACATTGTAGTATTTTTATTGTTCTATTTAACTCCCCGAATTTTGCAATGATAAGTGGTAAAAGCTAATCTTTTATTTTGATCAAATCTGTTTATTTATATTCTGGTGTAGAGCTTTTAAAACGAAGAAGTGCTTACCTTACTATTGTCTGTGTGTATTATGGATTTTGCGAAATTGAAGTGCCTTCTTGTGCATGCCATGAATTTTTCCTTTGTGACTTCGTCGTTATCCAACTGAGTGACAAAGTCCGTGTAGAACGTCATCAGTAGATTTTGTTGCTCGTTTTGTACTTTTTTAGTGACCTGTTTCGATATGGTTTCCCATCGTTCTTTTTCCGTAACTCGATTGTCGTTGTTTAGTGCCACTCCGTTTATGGCCGTTGGTCCTTCGCAAACTCTTTCACCGTTGATGATGTAGCTCCGTTTCTCATTTGTCTTGTCCGTATTTGTGTTGACTCTCCTTTTCTTGTTCTGTTGCTTGTCTGGCGATTTTCCCATGTACACCGCTGCTTGAATCTTCTCCCTTTCATTGTTGGATAGCGACCATTGGTCCCGCAACGGATCCTTCCAACGAAAGCTATTTTTCGTCATGTCGGCGTATGTCTCTCCTCGGCATCGAAGAGTGGTTCGTACAAGGTTTGATTTGCCATTGGAATCTGTTCCTTTGCTTTTGCGTATGTGAGGTTCTTTTTCGCCATTAACTTTTTGATTTTGTCCTGCCGTATGATTTCCCGACAGCTGGGATCTGCCGTAATGTGATCCTTGTTTCTGCAGTTAGCGTACTTTTTGCCTTTTCCACAATTATTGTCGTACTCACTTTTGTCTTCGTGTCTTTCAGAGCATCGTAGGCACCTTTTGGCGCTTCTGCAATTTGTGGTGCGTAAGCAGTTCAGGCAAATCTACCTACTACCTTTTGTACGAACGGTTGAACTCGACTTGAACAACAGAACAGTCTTACTATGTCTGGTAGGGTCTTCGCTCGAAACGTCACACTGACGCGGTTGGTAGGTATCTTGTTTCCATCGATAAATCGTGTTAGCCGGCGAACTCCAACAATTGGCACCTCACATTCCAAATCTTCAGCAATTTGCTCAATTGGGATTTCCGTTGGAATTCCCGCTAGCACACCTGTGATGCACACTAGGTGTTGTGGGACATAAGCTCTGTATATGCTGTTCGATTGGTTGATACTTATGACCAGTTGATTTGCTTTCACGTAACTGCTCAGAAACACCACCAACAATGTGACGCTTGTATTGTTCGTTGCTGCGTAGTGTTGATCCGAGTGCGAATTTGTTGATTTTCTTCGATCCTTCCTCATCGTTCCTCAGTACAAAGTAAACCCTGTACGGCACGCTATCCTGGTGTGTGTAGATCACTTCTTCTCGCTTGGGATGATTATCGTTCTGCGTCTCCACGTCTTTTCGGTTAGATTTGTTGTTGTTCTGAGTCTTCTCTCGTACTTCGCCTGCTGCCTCGTCATTTTTTTTCCGATTCTTGCATCCATTCTATTCGGTTTGAAGAACTTTTGCCACCGCCATCTGGTGGGTCTTCTTCCGCTCCCATCCAGACGCTAACCTCACTTTTCTTTTCCTCACTATTTCACTAGTTTTTACTCTTCTATTGATTTCCTTGAACACAACCGTAGATGTTATTTCTATTTATTTTTGCTGCTGAGTTGTACTACTCAAGATTTCGTTAAACTTTGCCTTTAACTTTCTCGTTTTCAAAGCTGTCCAACAGCGCGTCTGTACACTAGCCTTGATAACAATCGACGACGAACGGTGGTCCTAAAAAGGTCCGTTTGTTATTTTATCTGGTATCTCTCAAATAGTCATCTCACTAGTGCTTTCGACCAAACAATCCCGCTGTTGCTAGGATCTGTAATCAAAGCAAGTTTGTTACTTTTATTACTTTTCAGATAGATTGTCAAAACTGAGTTTTACAATGCAAATGGTAGCTGATCACCCATATTTTCTTAATACTGGATGAACTCAATAACTTTGTTCTGAAAAAGTTTGGAAAAACAGCCAAATTGGTTGTCTCATCACATAAGAAGCAATGGTACGAATCAAGCTTAAAATGCGATTTTCTCGGCTTGCTGATTTTTACCATGGGACCGACATGCGAAGAGCGGCAGTATACTCAATGTATATCCGAGGTCTAAATTGAGCTATTTTCCAATTTACGGCAGGTATCAGAACAGTTTTGTTCTATTTCCCATTCAAACCGTAGAGCTAAATTTTGCACTGCTGTGGGGAGCAGGGGGTTGTTAAGTAGACCCACCATAGTTCTCGTGGATCCTCTCAACAATGTGGCTATCTTCAAAGCATCAGATGAGCGCATGGAATGTTCATGAATCCACTCAAAATTGTGGGGTATTGAAGCTAGAAAATAAAATAATACATCAGTACGAATGCAAAAGCTGCCCAGAACCGGACAATCTGCTTCTAATTACCACTAATAGGTCTTCAAAGCCAAGTCATCTAACGAGAGCATTTCCCTATTGCAAGGTTATGGGCCTAAGCATATTGCTGACGCAATTTGAAATGCTTTTTGTGAAATCTTTACTGATCCCAACCAGTCAACGTGCTGGACCAGTTAAACCCCCCCCCCCTCCTCCTAAATCATCACACACAATTTTACAGCCCTAGAAAGTAAGAAATGAAAATCAATGAAAAGTAGTTAGGCACAATAAACATCTACGAGGGTACCAATCAACAAGCAAGATTACAAACCCCAAATTTGGCCCATAACCGTCCGAAATCGCGATGAGATGCAAACAGATGAAACGATCATATTTACCTGAATCCGGGTCCCAAAACTAAAATCATTGATTTCATGAAAATATGCAATCGAAAAACAAGCGGAGAGATGGTGAATGGCAAATAATATGAACGAATTTTCCCAACAACACCAGAAGGTGCGGAAAATCCACCGCTTCCGGTGGCAGTTCTGTGTTGCAGCAAGCGATAGTTCGAGAAAAAAAAACGCAGTGTAGGAATTTTGCAGTCAAGAAAAAGAAAAAAAAGTCAAATCCAATAAAACAAAACGGGAGGTCAGGAATATTAAAAATAAATAAGAAAAAAACAGTAGCAAACACCAAATTAGAAACTTGGTATGCCTAGTACATACCCATGCATAAAGCTATTCAAACTCGACTCTACAATCGCATACCGGTTGGTCACGGGGACCAAGTCCTTGTCTAGCATTGCGACGGCCGTCACATGGCCGCAGAACTTGGCATAGTGGGCCTGCGTGTGCGGACAGCACGTGTTCACCAGGATCGCCAGGCCTGCATGTAAAACGTGTTTATATACATAAGTCGATTCTCAGTAGCAACCGGTAGATGTACTTACCCAACGGTTTCAATGAGTTCAGGTGGTGCTTAAAGTCGTGGTCGTCGAATTCCAGCTTGAACGGACTGTGCTGGTCGTGCGTCAGATCCAGCACCTCGGCGATCGCTCCGCTGCCTTCCTTCTGGGAGCTCTGAACAAGTCGCGCGCGCGCACACACACACATACACACACAAAAAAAAGTAGAAGGGATGTTAATTTCCATTGACTTTGGGGCTTTGGGAGTGGGCAACGAAACGGACAAACAAGTGTGTCGGTACAACAAGTTGAGTCAAGCAAAACCAGCAAACAGAACCGGAAGATACCAAATGATAAAGAGAGAGAGAGAGAAAGAGAGATAGAGAGAACAACGTCAATACCAGCTCGATAATATGCGAGAGTGGATGGTAGTGTTCCTGGCAGCACTGCAAAATTGATAGGAAATTAACAAATGGGTGGTTTTTGAACGAAAAGGAATAATTCGTCGGTGATATGGAATCGTGGATGCAGGGGATGCCAGGCCTTTTCTAATCTGAAATATCTGTAAAATTTTGGCAAATGATTGGGGAGCAAAGGTTGTAATAGATGGAGGTAGAAAAGGTATAGAGATCGCCCCATGACAATTAGCAACAGCAACAAATTGGGGTAATTTGGCCACCCACTTAAAACTTAAATATTCATATTCATTCTCTGAGGCGAAATGCTTGAAGCCTGCTAAAACTAATCACTTCATTTTGCTATAAATATGTGTTTGATAAACTACAAAAAACTTCAAACATCATTTTAGTCTGACACTGACAACGAATCTTACTCAAAGAGTGAGTCATTTTTACTCAGTTGTATGGAGACATTTCTAAAAGTGTAGGTTACTCAGGCACTGAGTGAAATAGGGTATACGTCCCTAACCTCGGTCTAATATGCAGCCATAGATTACGTTTTTAATCATAACTCATCAATTAATTTACCTGCAAACGATATTCTACTGCTAAATGGTATGCTTAGATATGCTTATCATGTCGTTTGCTATCAGGAACCGCAAAAAGTTGAAAAACTTACTTTTTTTAAGACAAAAACTCACCAGGGAAATGTATGTAATATCGGTCTATTGTCCCCAAATTGGGTCTATTTATGGATGCAACTTCGTCCTATCCTGTTTGATTCTCAAAAAAAAACGCTCTTGGTAACGTTTTCTTATGTATTTTTTTTTATCACTATCACTGTTAACTTAATACTCTTCATTCCTCAAAACATTTCTTAGAGAAAATTTTACGAAAACTACATTAAATCACTCAAGTTAAAAATTAAAAATTAAAAATTTCGCTTATCGTCTTTCGACCGCAGAATATCTAAATCAAAACATTGTGATGTTCATTATACAGATTTGGCAGAAAAAATCTCCCTTCCTGTTCGTTCCTTATCATCCAAATGCAAACCACATTGTTGACGTTACTCTTATTGCTATATGCTGTCAAATGAATTTCATGGGCCAAAGTTAGGAACATAGAAAAGAAATGTGTCCCTAAAGTTGGGTCCATGATTTACTTGTGAAAACGTTGTTAAACAATTAAAATAAACATAAAATATTCAAACAGTAACTGTGAGTTTTACGTCTAGTGTGTATTATCAGGTAATTCCATTCAATAAATGCCATAATCAGGCCATTTGATGATCGTCAGTGCAACCTTCCCATCTTAACCTTAGAAGTCATGGCGGCTAAAAACTCCGAACAGAGTGATATTCTCAACCAGTTTTATTACTTACGAGAGCTGAAAATGTATTGAAATGTTGTGATATAAATTGATTTGTGTGTGGTACACATTTATCAATCATCAGTGATCAATATTTTCCTTATTTTTTGTGTAATATTCCTTAATTAATTATTTATTTGCGTGATAGGCCGAATGAAAGGACTAGACCCACATTACATACCGTAACCCTATGCTTTTTTGAAATTTCTCCATACTAATGAGTAAAAGTGTGACTCACTCTCACACTCACTAAAAAGATTTCAATACAGTATAAAAGCAAATAAAAACCAAAAATTTTCAATATTTCAGATTTGTTTTCTAAAACCTGGCACCCCTGCTTGGATGATTGTGCTCCATTACCCCGAATGTCGTTTCTCCGAACGGTATAATCCCAAATAATCCATTTCCCCGAAGGCCGTATCTCCGAAAAAAATACTAATGATAAGAAAATTGTTTCTAATAATTTTTCAAAAAGTACCATTTCCCGAAAACAAACGGAAGCGGAAAACCCCGATCGGAGTAAGCCTACTTGTCGGATTGAAAACTAGTTAAGGTACGTTTATGCCTTGTTCAGACTGGAGAGTTATAACATGTTATAACGGTTGTCAAATAATTGCAACACAGAAACCACCATCAAGATAGCGCTATAACATGTTATAACTCTGTAATCTGAACGCAATGAGCTGGATTACCGAGGTGAAGCAATCACTCACACGACCACTGTACGATACACGCAAGTACACGCAAGTAGTGACGTCACTACTTGCGTTTACGTTGATTTTTTGGTTTACTAATACAACCCTATTTCACGATCTGCGCCACCTCTCTCTGTACCTCATTGATCTGAACGTACTATTAGACAGGTTTACACCAAGGTGCTTAATACAAAGTTGACACACAAGGAAGAAGTGTTAGTTTGTTTACTAAAATGAACTATGCCTATTTTGTTATGGCAAGTTTTGCTATAAGAAATGTTCCTCGTGTTTAGTAGCGAAATTCACAACAAAAATTGATTAGCATACATCTTCCGGTCGTATGAAACAGGTCAAAAACTGTCCAAATCCACCCATAAATTTTTTGTTTTGAATTTCTGTATTGCATAATAGTAACCTTTTCGTGAACATTAACGGCAAAGAACTCACCAACACTGGGAGACCGTGAGCTCCTGCCACCTGTCATAAAACCATCTTGGGTTTAGACTGAGATGGGAAATGACAGGTGGACAGGAACTCACGGTCTCCCAGTGTTGGTGAGTTCTTTGCCGTTAATGTTCACGAAAAGTTCACTATTTTGCCATACAGAAATTCAAAACACGGCGCCTAGGGTTTAGACTATCTTCCTTCAGATAACAACTTGAGTGCGGTACAATCGATAGAACTGTTTCAAACACATCATCGGTACATGAGCGAGTCGGTGATCATCTCTTTTACCAGTGTTGGATACCCCTCACCATCCCTCTCCAACGGGGGAATTTGGTAAAGAGAGATGATGAAAATTTGTACCTTCCTAAAAAGTTGCCCATGCTCGCTTTCTACTCTCTAAATACAATTTTCACACTGCCTTACGTCGGGGTTAACCTCAATCTGATGACAGTTCAGTGGTACTGTTTACGTGGACTTAGTCGTTTTTTTCTTGGGTAGATTTTCTCGATAATTTTTCAGAATGCAGTGAGATGTAAACTACACTTCTGCATTGTCCACGAGCAACATCTTTTCACCGTGCTGTTCCTCGACAATTTACAAGTTAAAATTCGGAAATTTTAGAATTTTTTTTTTTCGAAAAAACGACTAAGTGCTTGTAAACAGTACCACTGAACTGTCAAAAAGGTTCAGCCTATTAACACTGAGTTCATTTGTGACGTCACGCTGCAGAACCTAATACAAACAAATGGCTAAAGTATCTGATGTGTTGGTCTGATTCGAGCGGACTGCTCGATAATGTTGTCGGACAGCGTTGCCAGAATGTTTTAAAGGTTATCGGTATCAGGTTTTAAAAAATCGGTATGTATCGGTATTTACTATTTTAATTAATTTTATATTTTTGGCGGTTTTGAAAGCGAAAATTTTAACTTTTGGACTATGATCGGAAAATTCCGGGAGGAAACTCCGGGGTATGTTTGAATTAGTTTCTGGAGGAAGCTGAAAACAATAGCCAGAGAAAAAGCTCTCCTGGAGGAAATTTTAGGAAGGTTCTGAGAGAAGTCGGAAAACATCCATGGAACTTCCAAGACATAAATTGAGAAACTTCTGGCGAAAATTCAAACAAACCTTCAGAAAAAAAAATCGGATTTCACATTCAAAGGAAAGCAAAAAAGTTTCGAAAATCGGAAATAAATTCCAGAAGTAGCCATTTCCAGGGGAAGCCAGAAGAAGCTCGGAAAAACCTTCCAATAGAAGTAAAAAAACAACTGGACAAAATTCCAGAACTAGACGAAAGAAATTTCTGGGAGAAGTTTAATTGAACTTTCTGGAGAAGACGGAAGAAACTTCCTGGAGACGTTGGCATAGAAATAAGGACATAATTCCGGAAGAAAGAGCTCTTGGGGGATGTTCTAATGATCCGAAAAAAATTCCAAATGGTCATAAAAGATCCCTGAAGACCCCGCAATGCCCCTGAAGTTTGTACTTGTACTTAGGAATATTCCATATTTCCTTGGACTGTTTTGGAGTACTCTGATAATCTTTGAAATACTTGGAACTTCTCCTGATTATAATGAGACTACCGGAATATCGCTAATCAACTTTGAAGGTTTCTAGACTTTCTTGAAGATTACGAAATTTCATAAGCAAGTTCTCTCAATTCTCCTGAAACTAATGGAACTGTCCTGAAAACTATTAAATTTTCCAGAAGTTCTTTGGACTTGTTCACTGGAGTTCGCTGGACCGGGTTTTATAATTTTAACAGAAGTTACATTCTTTGATTTTTCGAAACTTACTCAAAAGTCTGGACTTTTCTGAAGTTTCAGAACTTTTTAAAAGTTCCTGCAGCTAGTGTGGATCCGCAATCAAAATCATCCTTGAAGTTCCGTGAAGAATCATTCAAGCGAAGACTGAAGAAGCTTCCAAGGGATGTCGAAATAAGTTTCCGAGAGGAATCTTAAATAGAAAATTCCAGGGGAAAGTTGGAAGAAAATCGAGGAAGTTAAATAATGTTTAAAAAGTATTTCCTGATTCCCCCGGAATTACCAGAAAGAGCCGTCGACTATTTATCGATTCATGGTGGGGAACTTGCAACATTAATCGAGGGAGTATACGTAAGACATTTTTGAAGATGATCTTTTTTAGAATTTTAAAGACTCAAAAAATTTGAGATATTCAAAAAGATACAACCCTCACACAAAAACATTGATTTTGATTAATTAAAAAAATCGGTATAAATCGGTATAACACCTCAAAAATCGGTATTCTGAGGAACTTTATCTGTATATCGGAATCTAGTTCGGAAATCGGTATAAATACCGTTAAATCGGTATGTCTGGCAATGCTGTTGTCGGATGCAATGTTCGGATGCGTTCACACCAAGGGGGGGAGGTGGCTGTCAAATACGAACAATCGTCGCCTACCTCGCATAACTGGTTCCAAACGTAAACAAGCTATAAGAAACCTACAGCGTTTGTTTACGTTTGGAACCAGTTTCATACAAGATGATCAGTAGGCTGATTTGACAGCACGTCCCCC